TAAACCCTTTTCAAGATGGCGTTCTCACCACCGGAATTGCCTTTGCAAACTTTAATCACGCCATTTTCCACTAAAAAAATGTCGACAGTCTTCGATTTGACTGGGTTGCCGTAATTCGACAGACATTTTGAAGCAATCTTATTTCTATGCTAAAAAAAGGACGGGTAACAGAATAGTGATAAGGTTCAATATATATATTAAATTTCCAACAAAAGAAAAGATAAGCATATCTAAACAGTAATTTGTGTAAAAGCTTTAGTAGTTATTGCGTCGGAGTGTTGTAAAGTACCAAATAAAATCCAAAAATCGTACTCGAGAGTGGTTCTTCTGGTGGTTGCTTTTCTAGATGTAAACTTTAGCTATGTGGTTTAACAACTGTGGTCTGGTTGCTGGCGATTGTAGGCGTAAAATGGGATTTTTCCGCAACTAGATAAAGGCACAATTTTCCTCCGGCGAATTAGTGTGTATTTTTAACGGAGGTTTCTCTTCACTTAAATGAATGAGAGACTTTCTAAGAGCACAAACACTCTCACACTCTCCTATAATCCATCTCTTGGTTGTGTATTTTTCGTTGCTCGATAAAATAAATACCCGGGTCGAGAGCTCCTTTGTACACTGAACGTCTATCCGCCGTTTACAAGAGATAATTTACATTTTTACAAGCACCGCACCAGAGCAGTCCTTTTCATCTGGATGTTAATGATACACTGGAGAGCATTTTCTGTACTTTTTCGTCATTTCTCAAGATATTACACTTTACTGTGCTTATCCTATCGACCTGGGATAGAAAACGAAAAAAAAAGAATCAATATATACTTGGCACGAGATTGTAGGGTCTCAAATATCTATAATCTCAAACTTACTCGACTCGTACACAAAATCGATAGCTTACCATTTCTGTTATTTCAGTGTCAAGTTCATCTAGCTGTGATTTTAAGGGTGCAATCTCATTTTGTGTTATGCTGTGAAAAGAAAGCATGAAAAAAGATTGAAAGATGCCAAATTTGAGCGAAGAGAGACCATAAATTCAGTCATTCACGAAGGTGGAAGAAGGCTATGGCGATTCTCTTCAGAACACAACAGACAACAATGTGACGAAAGACTAGGAAAAAACCTCAGGAGTAAAGAGATTTATGTTACCTTTCCTCTCTTCTTAACGCTATTTCATGCTCCTTATTTTCCCGTCTCCACAGATCCAACTCCTTTTGCATACTATCCATATCTTCCTGTTATCAAAAATAATACAAAAAAAATTTGAAAAAAGCCAGCTTTTCCACAACGGCCACCTTTGGAAAATAGAACCTCCCAGCTGGTCAAAAAGAAAACAGTGACCCTTGTAAGGAAAAAAGACGTTGGCAGAGGTTCGACTAAATACCATTCCAGGCATTAAAACTACAGCAGATTTATGTACAGTTCCTTTCTTTTTTTCCTTCCATGATTAACCCTTTCACTCCCAGAAGTGAACAAAAACGAATTTCTCCCTACAATGTCAAATATATTTTAACAGAAAGGCGACGACAAGAAAAGAACAATACCAGTATCAACCAACCAAATTCTCAACTAAAAATTATATGAAATGCGATGGTGAAGAGGATTGGGGAGAATTGATAATTAGATTTTTGGAGTGATAGGGACTAACATAGTTGCAGTTCCAGAAATCGGCAGTGTATTGCAGTGAATCACAGTGTATCGCCGTCTTTAGCAAGCCCCCAAACCCCCCTTGGAGGGAACAGCCACTTATTGAAACCTTTGCTTAGTTGATGCTGCAAAAGTACCCCTTACCTGAATATAGTCCATAATTTTTCCTAATGGATTTGCGCTTCTCGTCAATGTCTGAATACTAGTTCTGAGTTTTTCTATCTGTTAAAAGAAATATGCAATTTAAATCGAACACAGAAAGAAAAATATCGCGAATGGAGATACTTGATATCTTGGTTACGTTGCTCTTACCTCCTTTTGCGCAAGTTCCCTTTCTTTTTTCCTTGCAGCGTCTGATATAATAGGAGCTTGTCTTTCCTACCAAACAGAAAATGAAATCAAACTGAGTTTTGGACAGTTACTGATTTTCAGGTGGTCCAATACACAAAGGAATGCAGTGTTCTCCTTTTCAGGCGGTAACTGATAATTTTTGCCATTTGAAATATTTCTTGTCACCGCCTAAAATCGCTCGTAAATCTTGGAAATTCAACAGGTAAAATAATTCCTCTACTAGGTTGCAAACGTATTGTACTTGTCACACTCAAAATAAGGCAAGACTCAGCGAATGAACTGTAAGTTTTGACGGCATCGTAAGAAGGCCCTATTCACATTTTCTTTCCTCGTGAATTGAGGGAAAAAGATTCATTTCTACCAACTTTTAGATATAAATGACTCTTACACAAGGACACGTTCATAACAAACAGTCCCTCACCTGTTTTGGTCTTGTTTCTTGGTTTCGACCTCCTTCAAGCTCTTTCTTTGTTTCAAGAATTTTTCTAACAAGGCCCCCTGAAAGGAAAGGAAACTCTCTCGTCACTCTTAGACAATGGTTTTTTTAGTGCCATGATAGACACGGATAAAACTCCAAACGATCCGCCCTTTCACTTCTAAGTTCTCATTAGTAATTCTCCTTGATCTTGCATTGATATTGCAAGTAGAAATTATATCTTGGTCACTCATGGGAGCTTCTGTTAGATAACCGATCCCTGGACCCAAGCGAGCTTGTTTTTTCTTAATATTAATCGAGGGAATAGTCATAACCCTCATTTGAACTTTCATTTTATTCTATTTTAGTGTCATGATGGAAGATAAAAAGGAAAGATGATGAGTACAAGAGGAAAAATTTCATCTCCAAAAATAACAACAATAACCATAGATAAATAATCAGTACATATGAAAATAATTACCGTGTTCACCATCATCTTCAGCTACTTCTCCTGTAGGAGCCTGAGAAAATAAGACAATACCATAATTTATTGAAGTAAGAGCCTGGTGACTGAAAAAAAAAGGCCACTTCCATATACAACCACATCTTTGCTTCAATGAGTTTAAGAAATGCATGCAAAAATGCCCTTACAAAAGCCTCCCTTGCAATTTATTATTATGCAATATAAGGTGTGACATGTTTGATTGTGTACATGAAGATACAGTAGAACTGCACTAACTGGAATTCCCAAGAAAAACAAAAGATGGTTTGAGTTAGCAGTGGTTATGGTAAGCTGATAGTAAATGACTGAAAAAATGGGTTAAGGGAAAATGGATCGGGGGGGGGGGGGTTTCAAGTTAACCGGTTAGGGGGGGTTCCACTGTACAAAGATGTCTGATAGCTAGAGAAGAGAATTACTCGTCAAATCATGAAAGTTAAACAATCACCACATCTACATCATTTTGGACTGCATGTGCATCTTCAACTACAAAGGTATCATCCTCATCATCATGTTCTTTGCCATCATCCACAATAACACTGGCAACTTGTTTCCCAGACCCAATTCTACAACAAAGAAAAGTTTGCCACTGGTTAACTTTACAAGCTCAAAAACAAATGAATCCTATTAAAACAGTGATACAGTTTGAGGTTGAATTATAGATGTTGTAACAGCAAAGACATGCCCAGACATAGATGCTTCCTTCTTGTGAGCAGGTTCCCTTCTTTTCTTTTTATGAATTCTGGTACTTTTTGAAAGAAAACTAGGACCCTAAAACACACTGACAAAAGCCCTGCATACAGATATTTTTTAAACTTTTTCAAAAAACCTGTTCTGAGGACCTTTATTCTGCTAGCTTGAAATTGGTTTACCACGAAAAAACTCATGTTCTCTTTGCAAATTGTCCTCTTGTTGAAAGGTTACAATCATAGCAACACAAAATGCTTTTGTTTTGCAGCACAACAAAGTCAACAAGCCAGTGCCTTCTTTTTTAAATTTGTGGTTCTTGAAATAATTAATTACTGATATCAATAAAAGCAGACCATTATACCTGGCTATTTGCTCTTCAAGGTCCTCTTGTTGCTTTTTTATCTTAGGTGGGGCAGGCCTTGCACTGCTTGGTCTTGCCATACTACGACTGTTCATTAGAAAGAAATTTGATGTTAAGCAATCTCAGTAGTATAGCATTGTAGAACAAACAAGCTCAAAAAGAATCATTTAAAGGTAACTCTGACCACAAAGGGGCAGAACATAGAGCTCTAGCCCTCACCAAAAAGTTTGAAGGGGACATGACTCTCTCATTTCAGTGTGGAATTGATCTTAATCAAAGCATCAAATTGGTTCGGTAAATAATTCTAACTTCTGTTTTTTGTAATCAAAACAATCCATAAAGGTCACATTTAGCCTGAGTAACAAAACCATTCTCCTAACTAAACAGATGCAGGTAGGTAAGGGTACCGGTAAACCTCCTTTCTTTCATACCTTTTTATAACTTGAGGAGGGAGGTCTTCATCATGTAATACCCCATTCATTTGCTCAGTTGGTCTGGGTTGTTCATCTGTATTTGCACCTAAAGGAAACAAAGAAAATTGGTTATGAACCAAAAACTATGTTTAGTTGATCTTGGTGCTATCAGTATATACAACTTCTTCATATAAAGTATAGAGATGAAAGTTCCTGAGGTACTCTTCTTGACTCAGCATTTTGGGATTCCTTCTGAAGAAGTTTGCTGATAGAATACTGATAAAAAAAACCCACCATTTCAATTTTTGAAATCAGTTTTCTCCAAGAGGTAGGAATATAAAACCCACATTGTCAAAATCATGGCTATTTTGTCAGCCATCCCACAATAAACATAAGAACTACCAGCAGTTTCAGTGGTATATCAACAACAAAAAATTATTGTTAAAGAGCAAACTCTAGATAAATACTGTATAAAAAATGCCACTCTCAAAGCAGTCCACCCAGAAAATGGAAAACTTTCTGTTTCTGGTAATCAAAGATAACAATTTAATACACATCATTGCACATCTCTGCCACTACCTACCATCACTTTCACTATCTTGAAGATCTGAAACACAAATTATAAATATTAATGATTGGGCACAAAAAAGTAGTCACTGACAGCAACTTAAACTGTTACTTCACGGCTAATACAAAAGACCAATAAATATTATACACCATGGGACCACATTTTCGTGTCACGACTATTTTGATTTTTTCCAAAAGCAGAGGAATATAACTGATTAAGAAAAACTCTAGGCATATCCTTAAATGGGCTCCTTTGGAATGCAGTTTCTGCCTTCAGCAACATGTTCTACCCTAACAAAGCCAAGTGCACTACACTACTAAAGGAAAATGTGATCCCCAGCCACTTTATATCCATTTTTCTCTGTTTCATCAGTTAAGTTCATTCTGACGTTTGACTTTTCTAACTATTGTACCACCAATGTCCAAGTAAGACTTGGGGTGCAAAATCAACAAAGTCCATTACAATAAGGTGTATTTCCAACTCAGAAGTACATTTTTCAAATAACCCTTAAATCTAATGGCACTGTGAACACTTCGTCTGATATGATAAATATTGTTTTCTTTCACACACAAGCATACCCTCTCCCTCCCCTGATGGTCGGCGTCTCTGACCTTTAGCAGAGGATGGTCTTGGAATGCGATTTGCTGGCGCCTCTCCATTCTACAAGAAGAGAGATAAAAATAAATCAACAGATCCTCTTCCAAAAAGACTGCTCAAGATCACCAAATATTAATTTTAAAAACAAGAAATTCACGAAATTAACATTCAAGTTAACACCCTCTGTTTGGTAATCTTAAATTAATTTAACTAGTTGCTGACTGGCTAGTAAATTTTTTCCAAGAATTAAAAGAATAACTTCATTTATATGTTTATGGGTTGAGCAATGTTAGGTCAATCCTACCAATCAAAAACCTTATTTTTCCATGGCAATTTAATTCCCCTGTTTTTCTCATAGCTAAGATTGTCCCGAGTCACTGTAACTTTGCCATTAAAAAAGAAAAATTTGCATCAGAAAAGTAAGGGTTGCTGATCTGAAAAGATATAATTTGCCATGGAAAAGTAAGTTTTGCCCGATAAAGAAGTTTTGTCCATGGCAGATGGGACACTGGATATACTGTTGTATGTGGTATACCCAGTCAAACAAATACCCACAGGTAACTACTATTTTGCTATGAGGTCTGATTTTTCTTATGGTAAATTTTTAATCTCTATCACCACTTTGGAGATGATTATCAGTTTTTTCTAAAAAAAAGAGGTTTTGTATGTCAGTTAGTGGTCAAGTTACCTCTGATTCACCATCAACTGCAGCTGCTGTTGCTACATCAGGACTATCCACATCATCATCTTTTCTTTGCAGCTGCTGAAATGAAAGTGGTAACCCATAATATTTGATTTCCACATCAATGTTTACTTAATTCATGGTATCATTCAGAACTTAGTCAACAGTCTTGACTCAACACTTGATCTTCAATGTTTTCCAGCATCCAAAACAGAAGCTTCAAAAATTTGCTTCACTCTACAGAAACCAAGATTAATTCCAGTCAAATGGACCACAAACATGTCACTTGAACAGTTTCTTATTTTTTTCCCCACACCTTTTCTTTTTCTTTTTCTCTCCCTCTGTCAGATTGCTTTTCCTTCTCTTTTTCTCTCTTTGCTGATTCATCTCTTTTCTTTCTATCTGAACTGTCTGCTTTATTAGATGAACTATCCCTCCTTCTGGAAGAGTCACCCTAAAAATAAAATTAAAGTAAAATGTTTGAAAATACCCTTTTGGAATGTAATGAGTGATATTTCTTGAAATAGTTTATCTTGCCTTTAGCATGATTTGACCTCAAAATTATGCTTTGAAGAACTTAACAAGCTTCCATTTAAAAAGATATGATTGAAAGGTTTCCATTCAGGGGTATATGACCACAGGACTGGCATATTAGCTTGTTTTCTTGTAATCTATTTCTTTGTTTACCAACAACTGGGCCAATAAAGGTCAATTAGGAGACTATAATACCATAAAAACATATTTTTGTATAATACCATAAATAAGTATTTCGCTCTTTGGTAAATTAAAAAAGTAACCATTGAAAATATCAATGAATATCAATTTAAGGATACTGCCATAGAGGATAACTGTTACATCCGCATTCAGCACTTAAATGAGCTATGCTGACAAAGATAATTGTCTAAGTATACACATAGCTAAATCTGCTGCCATTATTATCAGAACTTAACCAACTACATTGTCACATCAAATACCTTGCAACAGAAAAGGAATGAAAAGTACCTGTTTATGTTTGTCTTTGTCATCTTCTTTCTCTCTGTCTCTACTTCTGTCTCGATCTTTACTTTTTTCCTTGTCTTGTTCTTTTGATTTCTCTTTATCCCTGCTTCCACTTCCAGTTCTAGAATCTTTTCTTTTGTTATCACTGGTTATAAACACAGTAAGTGTTTTTTAAATATATATTCAATAATCAATTTTGTTAAGGTTGATATGCCTTCTGCTGCTAAATGTAAACTTTTGACTCTAAGTTTCCATAGTGATAACCATGAAATTATTAGGAATGGCAAGGAAAATTAAACCAGAGGGAAATGCTCCTAACATTGTTTACTTATAACCCTCTATACCCCAAGATCAACATGTACATTCTTCATACTGTTTTTTATAAATTTCCTATGGAGCTGACAAGGAGAATTTAGTCAAAAATCACTAGCTTTTCAAGTTTTGAAAAATTTCCTCCATTTTCATCAGCCTAAAGGTTGATTCAGTAGTGATGCCTTCATGAGAAATTAGATGCTAATCACCTTCAGGGGTTAAAGGGTTAGCTCATACATGTAGGTTATTTTGTGCCTTTTCATCATGAGCCTTACTGGCTCCATAAATCAGAACATTCTTGTTTGGGTAGCATTTGAAAAACATTTTTATCTTCATAACTCAAGTGAAAAAATGGAAATTTTTGTAATTAATAGATAACATGATTCATGCACCATATTTACAAATACAGCAGAGTACTTCAGGTTGATCATACAGGCAAAATCATATTTGTGTACACAGCTCAAAGCTATGTGTACTCAGGGTATCTATATATACGTCTCTTTCCCAAAATTCCTTTTTCCTTCCATATAATAAGGGTGGTCAGCCTATTTGCTAAGATCCTACAGCTTTTGCAATTAAATCTCATTCACTAAGTTAAAAATTTTTCTTAGAAGTTCCCATAGAAGCTTTAAACTAAGTTTGTTGACTATGTTAAAATTTCTCATGTTAAGTTTGAATTTTAATGCCATCAGCCATGCAACTCACATCAAAAGGCCCTTGTACAACACAAATGTTTGAAACCAACCTAGGTTCTTTTCCTGGTTTTTCTCCTGCTAATACTTTTTTCACTGCACCAGTACTACTTTTCTAGAAAATTATAAAAAAAATAATTTAAATTTCTTAAAATCAAGTTAGCTGAGAGTAAATGACTGAAAAATAGGGTCAAGGGAAATTAGATCTCCTTCAAGTTACATGGTGTTTGAAGTAAAGAAGTTGGAGTTACTAGGGTTTTACTGAAACTGTATATATTGAAACTCTGAGTAAATTAGGAAAAGAGATGTAAAGAAAGCCTTGCTGTGAACTCAGAAAACCATGAACATCCAACATATTTTCTAAATATGATTATGTCCAAGGGAAATCTTTGTGAATTTGAGGTTTGCTTACAATGTACCAGTCCAGCTTATCCATGAGATTGATCAATTGAAAGTATGGTGAACTTTCCAGACATATTTCCACTGTTTATAGCTTTCTGAGTTTGACAAAAAGACAAACCTGACCTACCTTGTGTAAAATTGCTGTGCCCATTGCTTGCAGGAACTCATTTGTCTTTTCAGGTTCATGGCCTGCCACAATTTTTGATGGACGTACTGACAACTGTCCAGTTATCATACCTGTGACCATTTAATTAGACAACAGAGATAATCAGATGTTTTTTCATTATTTATGAATTACATAACACCAATTTGAAATTTCCCATTTGTAATATCAATGTTTAGTTTGCAATTCATTGCCAACTGTAGTGTCATCACTAGAACAATAGTTCTCATTATAATCTAATTCTCTCTGATTACTAAATGCTCTATATAAGTTTTTTCTTTTCAAGTTACACAAATTGTGCTTCCTCTCCAACTTAAAGGCATAAATACATTAAAGCACCACACAAATTCAATCTCTTAAAATTACATGAAAATTAATTGAAAATTAGTTGAGTGAAAATGTGAATGTTGAACATGAAAATGACACCAGCAATGTTATGTTAATGGTAACAACAAATATGATTTTTGCTAAATCCTATTGACTAAAACAATTGCATCACAGGAGAAGGACATCAAATTTTGGACAGTGAAGTGTTAGGAAAGTTTGCAAAATAAAAAATAAATTAAAAATATGCCAGTATAAAACAATTGCTGGAAAAGTATTTATTTTTTTAGTAGCCATTTTGTTACCCTTAACCACATTACTTATAACCTAGCCGTTATCTATGAAGGTGCAACAAATTACATCTAAAATCACAAACTAAATGTTTGGTTCACAGGTTTAAATTTGAACTTTTTCCTTTGATGAAATCATTAATTTTCAAGAACAATTTCTCTAAGTAAGCACACCAGGCTGTTACTAAACAAAAACAAATAGCAGATCGGTGAGGCGAATGCCTTTTCTTCTATAACAATTAAATGAGATTTCGCGAAAAGTTCCTGTAAAAATACTAAAAGTTCATTTTGTAACTGTTCAGTGCGGATTCGATTTACAAGTCGGTATCACAAGAACACTTCTTTGTGGACAGGATTGCATTAAACAGTGAAATTTGGCTTAAAAGCACTAACCGAAACCTAAAAAAAAAAAATTTTTGAAGTCACTCGGCTGAATCTTAAGTGTTCCATTGAATATATTTAATTTGAAGAAGTAAATTATGGAAGATAATTTTTCATCACGCTCACTTGCGTGCTACAAAACAGGCACCTCATGGTGCATTTTGTCGGATTATAACGAGTATAAAGATCAAATGTCCTCGATGGATTGATAAATGTCTATGGACCTTAGGATTTATGGTTTAAATGGTTAGATATAAATAGTGTTTTTGCCAAACGAAAAACCTGTGCGAAGTGTTACGGTTGTTTCTTAGCAACACACAACATGACCTCGGTGTCTTACCTACGACGTCTATTGCTTTTTGAAGAAAAAGAATCTTGGCTTCTTTTTCCTATAATTGAGAATCAGCTGTTAGTATTAGGATGTTAGTCCTAAAATGGGAAACGAGAAGGATAAAAAATAAACAATATCCCCTCTCGCTTTCAGTGAAGAGCACACACTAAACCTAAAGCCTTATAAATTGCAAGCTGCTAATACCTTGACTTTCGCTGAGTCCATCTCATCAGCGGTGTACAAGCCTTTGAGAAAACCAGTGTTCCTCACCACCTAAATTTTTGCAGAAATCACAAAGGTATCAAGAGGAAGTCCTCATATCAATACTGTCTTTTTGCCACAGTAATCAAGAGTACCTCAGTGATAATATCATGAAGAAACCGGAATGGAGGCTTGCCCAGCAATTTTTCCGTTAAAGGAGGTTTCTTTATGACCTTCCCTAACGTATCTTGTGTTTTCTTTGCTATTGAAGGGTCCATGGTAGATCTTTCTTCACTGAAATGTTAATAAAACTAGAAAAAAATCTCTGGTAAGCGAGAAAAATGTTAAATAATTCTCCAATGATGCACCGCCATTGCTAAAGCCGCCTCGGGCAAAATGTAATTAACCAAAATGCATTTCGGCCGGGTTATCATGCTGAGGTTGTACGTTCGGGATAGATCGCGGGATGAATCCCGCAAGATGTTACCATCCCATCCCATAATACCTACAAGCGTAGCTTGTAACCTCGCCTTACCTTGCATTCGAACAAGAATCCATTTCAATGAACATGGCGCGGTCGTGTTGCAGCTAAACCATCAACGATAAGACCCTTTTTTCAAGTTATCACGACCTTGTAGCTGCCATTTTATCAATCCTTAAATGTGTAAAGCATAAAGGAAGAAGAATCACACTCTTTCCTGATGTCAAGGATGGATTTTTCAGAAATCCACGAAGGTAACGTCGGTCCAATTATATAATGACATTTCAACCTGACAATGCGCGTATGCCACAGCTCACCTCGTGGTAGATCTAAGGCAAATAGTTTGGTTCTAAACTTGGTGACGCGACCTTAACACTATCTGGAAATTACTTTGATTAATTTAGGCTATTAAAGAGGTACTTTTGCGTATGGAGTAGTCCAAGGGGATGTTTTGAGTTTGACGACCAACTTTGAATAACAAATTTACTCTACTGGATTTTTCGTTTGCAAGTTTAAGATATCGAGTCTACCGTGGAGGAGAATGTGTTTAGACAATCAACAGCTCGAAAAACGTTTCTTGTTGAAGAATCAGTAAGGTGGGACATTCAAGTGACAAACAGCGGACCAGTTACACGCTTAGATTGAATTTTTGCATGATCGAGGAAGTAATTGATCAGAAATAGCGTTAAACGTTAACAGACTGGTTCGAGCACATATGAATAACTTCGGACATGAATCAGGAGGCAAAATTTTGGGCAAGATTTGCGCGTAGCCCTTTACTTCTTGGATACAGAAAACAATGAAAAAATACAACAGATTGTGTTTGGAACCTCAGCTCTGTGTTGGAGTAGTGCGGGCTTATGTGGAAATCTGTCCAAATTTTGTCATAAGCCCCATATTGGTAGTTAATTACACATATATGTAGGTATGCATAGGGTTAACAATTGTTTAAATTAATGAAAGAGCAGAAGTTATTTTCTACAACATGTAGATATATATCCTGACAAAGGAGAAAAAGGAACTAGAACATTTTGTTTTGACATCTTCTTTTACTTAGCTCAGTGTGGATATGAATTTTAACAACCTCCTATTAAGGGCTGAAATTCAGAGTTCTTTGTCTGTTATTGATTATCATTTGATGAAAGTGGATAGACTACAGAAGGGAATTTTTAAAAGTTGATGTTAGGAATGTTTGGCTATTTCAGAACAAAATTTCAGAGGAGGGTTAGGAAGGAGGAGAGAAACTGTTGGGTGTGAGTGTGTTAATATAGTTGAGAATGAATCTATGCTGCTGGGGTAAACATTTCTAACAGATGTTAGCCCTTGTACTCCCAAGATCTGACTAATACTTCTCTATACCTTCAACCATATAATCCTTTTAATTATAGCACTGAGAATTATTTGTTTAGTCTAACTACTTCCCATTCTGTACATGCTATACATTCTATAAAGAAGGTGATGAAAATTATTTTACAAGTTGGCACTCAGATGGCACTCATTTCTGCAATATGTTTAAGCACACAAAAGAAGCGCAAGTGGTTTTTCCTCTAAGAGTATCGTTTTTTTGTGATTTACAGATGAACTGGTGAGTTTGGGAGTTGACTTTGGTAAGTATTTTGTCGATGAAAGTGCTCATAAACTCCAGAAGTGATTAAAGAAGTTCTCCTTTTTATATCCATGCATCATCCAGCAAACAGGAAATGAGAATACTCAAACAAATAGTTGTTAACTTTATTGAACACAAAGTTCTCATAATTAATTTACTAGGAATAACAGGGCGTTCAAAAGAAACTTATTGCACTGAATAACGAAGGCACATGTGTTGCACATTTTTTCGACCATGCATGCCAAAAAATCATGTGTGTGTCTGACTACCCCGTGTCTGAGTGTATGAAATTTGTTGGCAAGTTAACATATGCGAGCAGTACTGTTTGTAACAGCTAGCGGTGAGAATTAACCCTCCAACTCCCAGAAGTGATCAACATGAAACTTCTCCCCATAATATCCTAACATTAACCAGCAAATAGGTAATGAGAATATTCAAACTTATCAAGTAAAAGTTTTTATCTTGATCTAACACCAAATTCTCATTACCACTTCACAGAGAAATGTGTAGCAGCTTAAGGGGAGAATTAATAATTTGATCTTGGGAGTCAAAGGGTTAACGATCAGATCTTGGGAGTGAAAGAGTAAACTGATTCATTTCATTTTAACCTCTCAACTCCACGAAAATAAGCTAAAGCTTTAACATTGAACATATTCTTGGTACAACTTGCATGTGGTTGAAATTTTTTTCCTTATTCCTAGCTCCTTATGTTGGTCATAACTCAGGGCGTGAAATTGTACCTAATACAGGCACCAATGTGACTAAATTTTTCACTTTTGTGACCAAATCCTGAAAATTAGTTGCCAAATTAGCAACTAGAATGTTTCATCATAACCTTACCTAGAGATATAGTGAATTAAAAAGATTTGCAGAGATAAATCTGCTGCAAACTTCCTCGTTAAGTTTGTTTCCGAAACGCAGCACATGCATCTCGATTGAAACTAGACACCATCTTGGATTTAGGTGAGCTTGGACATTGCATATCATCCATCCTAGTGTCCACTTTGTAGCAGGTTAAAGATCTTTTACCTAACTTAATTTCTAGAATGATGACAGTGTAAAAAAAAAAAGTTTTGTTTGTCTTGGAAAATGGTGACCTACTTTTTTTGAATTGGCTACCACTTTGTAGGATTTAGGAGCCAAGTGGCTATCAGAAAAAAAATTAATGTCACGCCCTGTAACTTGAATTGTATTGCGACAGATGGATGATTAGCACAACTTCATGTGATGTCTCAAGAATTCACACTGTGAAAATGCAGTAGAAAGCTGATGTTTCATTTGCTCTGAAAAAGGGCTAATGCTCAAAACATCTGCTTTTGAACTCTTTAAAGTGGCCAATTTACATTATTAACTAAGTTGATAATAATAAATTACTCTGTTAGACTCTCCCACCAACACAGCACCACAGTTTCTTAAGAAACTTACCCCTTTATTCATTTAACTCTACAATTACTTGTTTAATTAACAACTTGATTGATATTATGCAGATTGTATGAATGTAGCATTGAAAACTTAAACCATTGATAGAAATAAACAAACACCTCATTCCAAAAGATAGAAAAATCCCAGAATATCTAACTGTTACAAGTAGCATCCATTAGATTGGGTAAGGTCAGGCTTACTGCAAAAAAAAATAATCAATCAACAAGTTGATGAAGTATTCCAATGTCTAGAATTTTTGTCTAGTATGTGTCTTTTTTTCTGATACCTGAATAAGGAATGTCCAAAAGCCCACAAGGCCAGTGGCATGAGATAACCTATTAACAACAGACTGAAATCAAAATGGCAGTTACAATGCTTTTAAACTGTACTCTCATTTGATCATTAAGTAGTGGGAAAGCAAAAGTCCCATGAGTGACACAATAACATGCCCTCAAAGAATGTTAGCTTAACTTAACTACAATTATTTTCTCAGAACATGGAAGACGAGGCCCAAGACCACCTTTCCGACACCCTGGACCACACCCTTTTCCCCCATTTGGTCCAGGTGGGCCCCATGGACCTCGCATGCCCCCAGGAGGTCACATGCCTAGACCACCAGGTCCTATGATGATGGGACATCCAGGTCCACACCCACGTGGACCCATGGGGCCCATGATGCGTGGCCATATGCCAGGCCCTCATGGTCCTCCAGGTCCTATGGGGATTCCAGGACCCATGAGAGCGAGGCTCCCTATGGGGGAACATGACATACCACCTCCATGGAATGACAGGGGAAGAGGAAGGAGGCCACTTGGCAAACCGCTACCTCAGCGACAACTAAGTAGAGAAGCACCAAAGCCCAAAAAGTCTATAACACCGGATAAAGCAAAGTATGGACATAATATTAGTAGAGGAGGAGATTTAAAAAAAGGGGCTAAATTAGGCACTGCTCAGCACCCCAACTTTGCAAAAGGTTTAACATTTAATTATGAAAGGCTGATACGCAAAAGGTTTAACATTTGATTATGAAAGGCTGATACGCAAAAGGTTTAACATTTGATTATGAAAGGCTGATACGCAAAAGGTTTAACATTTGATTATGACAGGCTGATACGCCAAAGGTTTAACATTTGATTATGAAAGGCTGATACTCAAAAGGTTTAACATTTGATTATGAAAGGCTGATACGCAAAAGGTTTAACATTTGATTATGAAAGGCTGATACGCAAAAGGTTTAACATTTGATTATGACAGGCTGATACGCAAAAGGTTTAACATTTGATTATGAAAGGCTGATACGCAAAAGGTTTAACATTTGATTATGAAAGGCCGATGTTTGTAGGTCATCACTATGTCAGTCATAATCACAAACTGTGGGGTCAGTGACTTGCTACACACTGATTTTTAGGGGAGTTAGTGGTGTTTTTGGAAGTGCCAAGTAAGTATGTTTGGGTTAAGGAATGTTTTAAGCAATAAGTCCAGAACCTTTGCCCCAACATTTTTTTTCGGGGGTGGGGGAGTAACTTTTACAGTTCCTTAATGTGGGGATATTGCAGTTGGGTAAACTATTACCATAGCAACAGTTGGGAAAGAAATCATGGTAAACTTTGTTTTATGGAATATAGCTAAAAATTCCATTTACATTATTTCTTATTAATTTGCAATTGAGGAAAACAATCATAATCATTTTGGGTCAATTGTTAAAGTTTTGTGGCTAATTTTCTTGATTTATACTACAACTTCAGCAAATCTTATATGAAAAGCTTGTGTGCTCTAACATGGCTGGCGAATGACTTTCCTTCAAGAAGCACAATTGTTAAACAAAGACCATAGATTGAATTCTCTGAATTTATTTTTCCTTAGTAACTGTTGCCATGGT